CCTCCTTCAGGATTAATGTTTGTCTTTGATGTGAAAAATGTGCTGGAGCTGGTTCCAAATCACTGAGGGAACCAATCAAGATCCTGAAGAAAGCCAAGTGTGAGGGTACTTCTGGAGTCAGCTGGCGGAAGCTACAGCCAGCCCTGTTCTGTAAGGCAGATCAGAGCCCAGAGCCAAAGCAGGCACCTATCTCAGTAGCTGCCCCACCTCCCCACCTCCCTGGGGGGTGGAGCTCCTGGGTGAGGGGTGGGGTGGGGGCTGGTGGGAGCAGGTCTGCAGGGAAATTGGCCTGGGGGCGTGGGTGATTTTGGAGTATCTGTAATCTCGTCGTGGATGCCAGGTAGGGATGAGATAAATGCGTTAATATTCTCCCCGTGTTGTATGTTACTTCCCTCGGGACCTGCTGGAAATGAGAGTCATATATCCTAGCGATGTTTCCCTGCCTGTGTGGAATCCCAAGGGGCAGTTGGGCTTTGAGGGTGCAGGGGAGGAGGTGGTGAGGCACGGGTGCATGCCATCCAGGCAGTGTGAGAGGAAACAAGGATTTAGCTCCTGGTCTCGCTCTGGGGGAAATATTAGACTTTGGGGGGTATTGGAGGAGCTCTCCTCATAAATCACTTTCATCCCTCAAGGATTAGGGTGAATGAAATGCAGTTATTGAAAATGAATATTAAAGTGTTCAGGTCAGCGGCTTTATAGGAAAGCCAGCCATAAAATTGCCGTCGATTCTGCGCCAAACCAAAGCCCAGGAGCGCCCCTCCTCGTCTCAGAGGGGACGATTGGGGTCCCCTGGTGGCCCGGAGCCCCCCTTCTTCCCTGCCCGATGTGAACACTGCTCTCTTGTGTCCCTGCCCCGCCAGGAGGGCGTGCTTGCTTTTCGAACACACCCTAATGGACCAAGGACACCCATGAAGGGATCAATCCCCTCCCTGCTGAGATAATTATTGACTTCCGGCAACTGGGGGCAGCAGTGTATGTAATTAAATCCCATTAGAGAAATGATTCGAGGTGGGGAAGCACGTTACTGATAATTATTTCCTCCCTTCCTCTTTCCTTTCATCCAGCGCCCCCCCAGCCACCCCCGCCACTTTCTTCTTGGTGGCTAAATCCAGAAGATCAATACGGGCACATCGTCCTTACCTTTATGGGCGTGCTGGAAAGGCGAGAGGGTGCTGCTGCCAGAGGTGCTGGGGAAGTTGGCAGAGACTCCCGAAGTGGCTCCCACACCTGCAAGGAGAAGAGAGTCACCTCCAGGTGAGCTGGAGAAGGGCAGTGATCAAGTGTGAATGAGGGCTGATCTCGCATTCTAGACTGGGGATGTGCCGGAGGAGCGTGGAGGGAACGGGCATTTCTTGATGTGTTTAATAATCCCCGGAGTGTTCAGGGCGCCCCGGTGGAAGAATGGGCTACGAGTTGGCCTGTTAACAGCAAGGTCAGTATTTCAAAACCACCAGCCGCTCAGTGGGAGAAGGATGAGACTTTCTACTCCTGTAAAGAGTGACAGTCTTGGAAACACCCAGGGGCGGTTCTGGTTTGTCCTAGAGGGTCGTGTTACGAATCTGGATCCGCTGGCTGTAGTGAGTGTTTCCAGAGTATTCGGACTTTTCAAGGGCTGATTGCGCTTTAAGCAAAGAGACACATGTAGTGAATCTGCTAAAACCAAACCACAGGTGTTGGTGTGTGTATGTGGGGAGGGGGGGCCAAGGGGGTGGTTTGCAAGCCTCAGGACTCAGCCTCCCTAAGAACAAATACTTGAATAGAGTTGATGCCATCTATAAACAAAGAGAACCATATGTGTATGTAAACATATTATTAGGAGAAAGTAATAATTGACTAATTATTTCAATTACATGCAGCAGGGTAGTACTTTAAGTGTGATTGTTGCAATTATAAAAGTAATGCACGCTCATCATTAAGAATGTGGAAAAAAAACAACCCAGAAAATGAGAAAGAAGTAATAGAATCACCCATAGCCTCACTGCCTCAAGCTGACAAGCTGAGGATATTTCTAGGCGTTTTCCTATGCCACAGAAAGTCAGCAGTGCTGGGTGGTGCAAATGCTTAACGTGCCAGGGACTTGACTGGAAGGTTGGCATTTCTAGCCTACCCAGAGGTACCTCAGAAGAAAGGCCTGACAGTCTATGGCAAAATCAGCCACTGAAACACCTACGGAGCAGCTGCCCTCTGAAACACGTGACGTTACCGTGAATCAGAATCTCCTCAATGCCAAGTTACAGAAAAGACACCATTGCTAACTCAAGGGCTTCCCCACACTCACTGCCGTCGAGCTGAGCCCAGCTCATAGCCACCAACTCAGGACACAGAGAAGAAACGCTCCTGTGGGTTTCCAAGACTGGAACTCTTCAGGGGAGTAGAAAGACTCATCTTGCCCCCGTGGGGTGGTTGGTGGCTTCAAACTGGTGACCTTGCAATTAGCAGCACAAAGCATAACCCACTACACTGCCAGAGGGTAAGACACACATTAACTTGGAGGAAGGCAAATAAGACATTACAACTCAAAAAGTAAAAACAAACAAACAAAACAAAAACACCCTTGACTCTGAGTGACCCTTCAGGACAGGGCAGAACCGCCCCTGTGGGTTTCTGAGACTGTCACTCTTTATGGGAGTAGAAAGCCTCATCTTTCTCCCACAGATTAGCTGGTGGTTTCAAACTGCTGACTTTGTGGTTATCAAGCCAACTCATAACCATTATGCTACCAAGGCACCTCCCACAAGGGCATATGCTAAGGTCTGGGAGGTCCAGAGCTCTAAGTCCTCTGAACCGTTAGCTGGAGAAAAAGGATGCCTTTTGCTCCTGTTAAGATGTAAAGTCTTGGAAACCCACAGGGGCAATTCACATCGAGCAGTGCTTCTCCACCTTCCTAATGCCGCCACCCTGTCGTACAGTTCCTCATGTGGTGGTGACCCCCGAACCATAAACTTATTCTCGTTGCTACTTCATCGCTGTCATTTTGCTACTGCTATGAATCGGGTGATCCCTGTGAAAGGGTCGTTCGACCC